ACCAGGGACCCCAACATACAACACATGAAATAATCTCTCTAAATTTTCTTTAGGGAGAAAGAAACATAGCTATACAAGAAAGAAACATAACATACAACATAGCCAAAGAACTTACAAAAAAGCTTGGACATCTCAGAGAGGGGAGTCAATATTCCCCATTACAATGCTTCCATAAAAATCAAAAACTTAAAAAAAGAAAAAGATGAAATATGTTTTCATTTGATGTCAGAGTATTTTTTTACTTCCATAGATCCAGAACTAGCGAAAGAATCAATGGCATTGGTACTACACAACACAGCCAATCTAGCCAAATTCACTAAGATCAAAATACTTCTGCTTCACTATCTACTTTCTAATGCACTGCAGCAACCAGAACATCAGAAAAAGGAAATAGACCACCTACACAACATTTTCCAACAAAACGGATACCACACAACTTTACCACAAAGTGCCTTACTACTCAACCCACTATAGCACAACCAATACAAGCTATGAAAAACGTAACACTGCCATACATCACAAATATCTCAAAAACAATCAACAGACTATTACAACCCCATGGTATCACCATAGCACACAAACCAACTAAAGTCCTTCAATGCATCTTAATCAGAAAATCTAATAGCCCAGAAGAAAAATATAAGTTATCCACAGCATACAGTGTAAAGAGTATAACAGCCACTATGTAGGACAGATAGTAGAACAGACTAGCAGAGTGCATCCATCAACACCAACTATCAGTCAGAAGTTACAGTAAAAATTCTTTAACATATCCTACAACATATAGATAGACTCAATCATAGCTTCAACTGGAAAACTGAACATCTTAGACCAAACTAAATCCAAAAACACTAGGAAATTCCTGGAAGCTTGGCATTCAGACAAATCAGCCATCAGTAAACACATAGACATAAGCCATATTGAAAAGAGATGATAAAAAAACTAAGTCGGAAACAAAAACATCAGAACACATCCTCTCCAGCAACCTACATTCAGATAAGCAAGGATTAACACCAGACAACCAATCAAGCAGAAAACAATAACCTAATCAACGAACTATCAAGGAGAAAACCATACAACCACAACACTGGCAGGACAAGCTGCTTTATATAAAGAAGAAGCAAACCCTGTTCTCATTAGTACATTAGTACAGATGATATTACCTATGTAATATGTAAATGTCTGCCAGCAAGCTACCAAACTCATAGACAGAAAAACTCAACCCTGAATTACATATATTCTCTTCTATTGGAAGTAACCCATGCACATAGGGTTTCTCTGATTGCAGCAGGAAACCAGAGACCCTGATTTATGCTTTTACAGGCTTGCCCTGCTGAAGTTAATTCTTCTCCTGAAAAGTTTCATATCAGTGGAACTGCAAGTTACCTCACAAGTAAATGGCCAAATTACTCCAGTACCTTGTCTTTGAGACGCTTTGTAGGTTCTCCTCTGGAGTTCTGCAGGAGGATTCTTGGTCATTTAATATGAACTTAAATAGGTAATAACAGGCTAGAGCATTTTAATATCCTTGTAATTTTTTACTCCCTCTTAGGCAGAGAAATATAGCTCCCGTTTAGATTCTGGCACAACTGCTAATTTTATAGACGAGACTACAGTGCATCATCTTAAATTATCCACCCAGTTATTAGAAAACCTCATGCTAATTGAAACAATTGATAGGCAATCACTATGAGTTAGTTCTATTATACAAAGTACAACTACTCTGCAACTAAAAATAAATGATCATACAACATTCTTGTCACTATATTCATAGCTTCCTTACACATTCCAATAGTACTGGGCGCATAATTCAAACATCAAGGGAAGGGAAGGAAGAACTATTTTCCATGTCAAAAATATCAGTGCCGCCATTTGTAAGCATCCCTCTCTTCCCCCTCTTCCTCATGAATCTCTTTCCCTGCACAAAAAGTGCACTGATTTTGCTGATGCTCTGGGGAAAAAGGGAGCAGTTAATTTGCCTCTTCACTTAACCTGTACCATCAACTAGAAGCTCCCAGCCCACCTTGCAGGCAAAAAGGCAACATCCCATATATATACAAAAGTTTGCTATTTTAAATGAGTTTCCAGACTACAATTTGAAGGAAGCTTTCATTTGTCCTTCTACATCTCCAGCCTCTGCACCCTCATTTTTTGCACCAAAGAAAAATAATTCCTGACATCAGTACGCAATTATGTTTGTGATGTTTTATTTTTTGATGTATTGCCTGTAGTGCTGTTTTGTAATAATTCTGCAATTTATTCTTGTCTATTTTGTTTTTATATTATTATATAATATATTATATTATTATATATTATATTATTCTGTCAGCTGTCAATAGTCAATTGGAATTGGGTAACATTAAAATTAAATTAACAAATTAACAAACAAGTAAATAACATTACAGGCTTCCTAACTCTGTAACCATTACAAAACCACACCCAGTGCCTCTTATTTCAGATCCAAAAGACTGTCTTCATTAACCTAATTGGACTTATGAGGCATTTACAGTTTGATCAAAATTAATGTAGATTCTGAATGTAATAGTCTCTGATACTAAGTGCAGCAAATTTGAATACATAATATGAATTGATTCATTGTCCAGCTGTCTTCTTCAGGTTCATGAAGTTATTTTGCATAACTAAGTGGTAGTGCACCTGAATAAATCCTGATTCCCTTTCAGAAGACCATCCTTGCATGAGACTCACATTAAAAATGTCTCGGAGCAATTCTATGAACACAACTTTTTGGCTTAGTTAGAAAATATGTATTTAATTTTCCCCAGTAGGAGTATTTGGATTACTTGCCTTGTTAATTTTACTCCAGACATCTTCTTCCAACTGAATAAAAAGCTGCTGGCTGCAAAACTAGCTTTTAGCAAGGGAGAATGATGGAATGATGCAAACCATCCAGTACGGGTGCACGCACATTGCAAAAATTGGGAGCACATTTACAAATGCACAAAGTTAAGACCTTCAATCCACATCAGATGATACGGGAATATTTTTTTCTTCAACTTTTAAAACACCTATATACTTGACTCATAGAATAGCCAGGTGCATCATTATCATTATATTTTTATATATGCCTCCTATTTCCCTATAACAATAATCCTGTGAGGTAGGTTGGGATGAGAGAGAGATTGGTCCAAAGTCACTCAGCCAGATTTCATGCCTAAGGGAGAGCTAGCCCAGTGGTGGCGAACCTATGGCACGTGTGCTAGAGGCGGCACTTGGAGCCCTCTCTGTGGTTGCCCCAGCCTTGCCTCCCCCCACAACCCCCTCACCAGCAGCCCCCCTCGAGGAGAGTTGCCCCCAAGCATGGTCCATGCAGAGCAGAGCAGCCAAGGACACGGCAACCAGGCAGTGTGGACAAGACTTGGTCTCACGCCCCATCACGCAGTTGATGCTGCGGGGTGCGGGCAGAGGGCGTGGCCGCTATTGGTGCTGCTGGGCTGCCTGGGCGATCTGTGGCGGGCCCTGGAGGTGGTGAGTGGTCCTGTGGGCAGGCAGGGCGGGGGATGGGGTGGGGTGGAGCGGGGCCAGTTTTTGGGCACTCGGTCTCTAAAAGGTTCACCATCACTGACCTAGGCTATTAGTCTATAGGCAAGCACCATGACTTTGAAGCCGTGCTCCCCCTCCCCACTTTCCAGCCAGAAAGCTAGAGAATGCAGTCTTTCTGAAGGGCACAAAAACCTTTCCAGCCTTTTTAACTGTCTGAAACAGCACATTTGCTAGTTTTCCAGCCAGAAAGATAGAGGGTCCAGCCGAACAGTAGATAGAGGGTCATTCTAGCCATCAGAACAATCATGAGAAGAGCACCAAGTCTCACAATGTTTCTAAAGGCAAGAAAAGAGAGCCTTTCTACTGTTCACAAACATTGTGTTTGTAAGCTTTCTGGCTGGAAAGCTAGTGAACACCATGTTTATGAATGGTAGGAACACTGGAAAGAAATTCGGATCTTCAGGATGCAAGCTTCCTTTCTCCAGCCCAGTGATGGAGTTCTCAATCCTATGCACAGGGAAGAAGGGAAATCTTTTTCTACAGGCAGCAGCAGCAGCTTCCAACTTTCCTTGCTGGCTTCCTGGTTGACTTTCTGGAGAAGTGGACAAAGAAGATTGCAAATAGCAATCACATAATTGCAGGAAGCTTGGCAACCAGTCCTAAATGTGAACAGGTTGCCAGGTGCCCAAAATATGATCACATGAACTTGGGGGTGGTGTGGCAGCTGTAACTTCAAAGATGGCTCATGAGTAATTTTTCCTGAGTCTCTCGTCACTTCAAATGGTTGTTAAGCAACTGGTTGTAAGTCAAAGACTACCTATAGCAGGGGTCCCCAACCCTCGGTCCATGGATCAGTACCGGGCCACGGCATGCCAGCCAACAGTCCGCACAAACAAGCAAAGCCCCATTTGCAGGATGCAGGCAGCACATAAAACCACACACTCTCTGGTCTGTGGAAAAACCTCTCTCCCCGGAACCGGTCCCTGGTGCCCAAAAGATTGGGGACCTCTGACTTATAGCATTCACCTACTGCAACCAGAATGACCTGCCTTGCCAATTGGTCATGGTGTTTTCTCTTAGTTATATCTGATCCATTTTTAAAATTCCTGGAGCCTATAGATACATGTGTCGATAGTGCCTTCCTAAATTGATTATTTTCAACAGGGGAATGCTATAAGTGCCATCTAGCAGGCTATGCACGAAGGCTAAAAAGTTATGGCAACATTATCACAACATTGAATGGTACCCTTTGTGCAGATATTACCAGTATGCAGCACAGTGACTGGTAAATAGTAACTGAATTTTAAGGATGAAATGTAAATACCATCAATATTGCAGTTACTTTTTCTATAGTAATTGTGATACAGTGATTACATAAAAAGATGTATTGCATTATGATATTATATTACATAATTAAAAAATGTAAATCCACAATGGAAGTTAATGATAAGCAGACTTAACCCATGTTTTTTCTCACCATGTCGAATCTTAAAACTTACCTCCATAGCCTGTGCCAATCGTTCTTCCAAAGCCATATAAGTAAGGAACTGGGGATCCACATACGAAATTGCTTGAGCAACACCAAGACCATCCCCAAATTCATCCAGCAACCTATAGGAAAATATAGTGTTGGTTTTTTAATCTCTAAGTAGGGATGAAAACATGTTCAGTGATGCTTAAAAGTTTGTTTCTGAATAAATATGACCTTACATTATTAATTTATACATTGTGAAAAAAAATCAAATTTGTGCTTTTTCAAACCATTAAGCATTTAATCAGTGTAAAGCAGTGATTCTCAACCTGTGGGTCGGGACCCCATTTGGGGTCGAACGACCATTTCATGGGGGTCGCCAAACAAGGCTGTCCGCCATTTTTTTACCCCTTTTCTTTGGCCACACCCCTGGCACCCGGTGATGTATAAGTGGTTGGGGGTCACCACAACATGGGGAACTGTATTATGGGGTCGCGGCATTAGAAAGGTTGAGAACCACTGGTGTAAAGGATGACAATCAGGGAGCAAGTGGCAACTACTATTAAGCCCAGTTTGGTTCCGATGCTCAGCATTGTCATATATTTCTGATATGACATTAACAAGAAGCTCTTACATTTATCATGGAAGAAGAGTTTCATTATGCAATTCTATTTCAAATAAAATATGAGCCAGTATGTTCCTGATCACTATTTACCTAGGTTAAAGTAAAGAGTCTACCAACCTCCATTCAACATCTAGGTCTTCACTCATACTGGAATCATCTTCTAGATTGTTGTTCCCATCCAACATAAAAAAGCCAGGATGTACAAAATGGCTAGCTTGATCATTTTCTTCATCACTGCTACTTTCAATTTCTTCATGATACTGCAACCAAGGAATCTCTCCATCCTCTAGAGAGGCCTGCTCCCTTTATATAAAAATGAGAAAAGCTATACAAAATATAGCAAATACAAAATTTAAACTACATGTAAGCAAATAGTACAGAAAGTACAGTATTCTTTATTTATACTGAGTGCTAACAGTCAAATACCTGCAATCTATTTTCAACAGACATCACATTAAAAATAATAGGCAGCACAGTTCAACAGCACAGCTAAAATGCAATGCTTTATGAACTATATTTATATGTGATGTGTATATATTTTTATCTTAAGATACAGCACAGGATACAGCACAGCAATAACCCAAAATGTTTATTATGTATTTTTTTTAAAAAAATAAACAGATAAATAATTATTCTAGTGGGGAATAAAAAAAAGAAATACATTTTATTTCTATGGCTGCCCATCTTAGATACATAATTCTGGATAATTAACAGTTCACAACAACAAAAAACAAGCAAAAATCCCTGTAATAAAACAATAATATAGTTAAAAACAGCCAAAATATGATCTGAAAAGAGACCAGTGTAAACAAAGACTCTGCCCGTGGAGAAAACAGTTCCTGAAACCTAACCCATGTACTTTTATACTGCTGCCATCACAAAGATTTCCAGTTGCAGCTAATACTGCCCTATCTAGATTTCCAGGATGCCTAGATTCAATTTATTTGTAGTTACTATCAAATCAATATGATTTTATTTATTTCTCTTAACATGGTTAAGTTTTGTACTAAATAAATACCACACCAATTTTAAAACTATTGGGCACTTTTGTGATTATTTCTTGCTGCCTTACACTTAATGTTTTCATTTTGTTTCTAAGCTGATCTATGATAGTAATAGGAGCCAGATTGGTGTGATAATTAAGGCATCAGGCTAAAAACCAGGATACCATGAGTTTTAGTCCTGCCTTAGGCACAAAGCCAGATGGGTGTCCTTGGGACAATCACTTTCTCTCAGCCAGAGGAGTAAGGACATGGCAAACCTCTTCTGAAAAACCTTGCCAACAAAATTGTAGGGACTTGATCAGGCAGTCTCAGAGAATCAGACACAATTGAACAGAGGAAAATGAATGAGGAAAATGAATGTAATAAATATATCTCTTTTTATGTAGTTAAATTAGTCCAATACAAAAAGAAACCAAGCTATCATATAACAAATGCACATTACAAACAGATGTTAACTGTTGGACTCCTGTAACATCTGGGACCTAACGCCTGAATAAAAAGTCAGATCTCATTGAAACCTGATGTCTTAATATTATTCTTTTTGAGAATGTGAAAATGTGGATGTGGATCTCAACCATCAATCTTAATTTTTTTTTTTCCCTCAAGTCAAAAACTAAGATATTTGTAATTAGGAGATGGGTTTTTTTTTAATTTTCCTAATTATTTACTGTAACCAATGTGGGCTGAAAATACAATGAAATTTATGATTCTAACATAGCACAAAGGTTGCATATGATTCAAAAGAAACAGGCAAAACTGAAATGGAAAAGAATAACATTGTATATGAAGCATGTCAACACTATCTATATGAAAATCCATGAATGGAGAATGAAAGAAATTCTGAAAATATTTTTATAAAGTACAGAAAGACAAATAAATAAGTGGTACTGTATTATTACAGACCATTAGATCATTGGAAGTTATATAAATATATTCTGAAAAAGATGACATAATATCCATAGATGCTGTGAATACTGTTAAGAATCGGATGTCTAATTAAATTCTAGAACTGTCTTGCTGATGACTTTTTATCTCAGGAAGAAAAAGAAAGAAAAGATTATGGTGCATTAGGTTTTAGCTTGGAGTTATATTGGTAGGATTACCTGTATAGAAATTCAGAAGAAACGAATTCAATACAGGTGGAAGATTTTGAGAATTAGTATTGGATAATACATCTGCTTAACTTTGAAAAAATTGGAAACTACTATGGGTGCATAATGAGCTGAAATTTTAAAATAATACATAAGAAAAAGAATGATGCACATAAAACCAAGCCTTGAGTATGACACAACAACCTGAATCTTTATGTATGGTACCAGAAGGCTCAAACACTGAAAGAGCTGAAACCTACAAAAAATGTTAAAAATGGAGCAAAACAAAAGAAAACAAGGATTAAATAGATCTGCTGCTTGGGAAAGTGAAACATCAATTTGTAAGCAAAAGAAGGCTGAAATTCTCATTTTCTATTTTGCAAGAGAAAACCTTTTACTAGCTCTGTAGTATCTTTAAGTTTCTGGATCCTTTTGAATAACATTTCTGCATAAACATGATCTAAAATGTGATGTGTTTTCCACACAATCCTAAAACTAGATAAAGAGAATCTGTTTACACAAATGACTGAAAAAATTATATGTGTCCATTCATTTCTTGAGAAAAATGATCCAAAAGTAAGACTAAAAAGCTTTAATCAACCTGAGGATTTTTTGATAAATCTGCATTTATCAAATTTCAGTATTTTTGTATCTGAATGTAATATAACATTAGATGAAATTAAATAATCTGTATTATTATTCTAAATATGACATTGCACAATGGCCAAATATTGTAAGCAAGATAAAAACATTAAAAATAAGATTGGTATTTTTCAACTTTTTTTTTAGACTTTAGCATTTTAGTCTTTTGGAGTCAGAGTCTTTACTTCTCTGGTAGGAAGTATAACAATCTAACCTAGATAGGCAATGAAATTTCCCCTAAAAAGGTTCATATCATATACATGCTTATTATCTGTGCTACCATAAATTAATCTCCAAATTTGCCCTATTTCCATTTTCATTAAGATTTATACCCTTTAAGAGCAAAGAAAAATTTAAATCATTAAAAGAAGTCATTGACTTTAGTGACATCATGTTACTGTTTGATTAAAGTCTTGTCAGTTGCAGGCAGCTGTAAGCAGGCTAATTAAGTTCATAGAACTGAGTTGTTTACTTGCAGTTAGCAATTTTTAAGGGAGTGCTGCATTGCAGAGAAAAGCAGCTCAAGAAGAGATTGCTTGTTTAGGCAATCTCTTTACTCTATGAGGGGAAGATAAAGGAAAAAATGGGTCAGGCACAGAACAACTATACATCTATAACTGACTGTAAGGCAAATATGTGGTGAAAAGAGAGATGTTGCAAAGGTAATAAATGTGGGCATTGATTGCGAAGTTACTTTTTCATCTTTATAACTCCAAATATTTGCTGACTGAGGAAGTTGCCTGGAATATTGTGATATTCTAGAATGCATGTGAAGCAATTTCCTTTGTTTTACCCAAAACAAGAGTGCAGGTTTCTCCTTTTTTGTTCATTTTCTAAAGTGTTTAAACGCTTTAAAAATACTATGCTGCTTGCTATTTTGGCATTTATGACAGTAATCCAAATGGCAAAAACCCCCTCATAAAATACTACATTACCAGAGAGGAAGAGGCAGACAGTAGTATATATGTTACAGAACTTCTGGTTAATTACTGAGGCACAAAATTATACTATATTGTAAAAATGTATTTTATGGAAGCCTAAATCTTGGTGTGGTGGTGATTCTCTTGTGAATTGTTCCCTCAGTTACATTTGCCATTTTGTAAACCAGTCTCATTTCATGTAGTGATGGGCCTAGTGATAAGTTACAGAGCCAAACTATCTTCACATCCAAGTAATATTACTAGAAGCATTCCTTATTAAATAGCATTAGATATAAACTGTTAAAATATAAAATTTATTGATACCATAAACCAGTTTTAATGATCACATAGCTCTATTTGTAGTGAAATATTTAGTTTGCTGTGCTTATGCCTGTATACTGCTCCTCCTTTTTAGATTCCTTTTAGATTTTTTTTAGTTTTTTATATGAAATATTTTATTCTGATATACAGTATTTTTATGCTTTTTAACTGTATCCCATCCTCCTTATGCTAGTCTTTGCCTGTAATAAAAGATTTGATTTGATTAGTGCATAAAGAGATTTGTCCTTTTATTCCATGGCTGTTAAGCTTAATTAGAAGTCTTTGAAAAGGGACATTATCTTTGAAAAGGGACATTATTTTTTTTGAAAAATCTAAGCAGACAGTGCCTATTGGTTTATTCTTCCACATCCTTACTAATATCCTCAAAAACCTCTGTTCAATTAATTAGATAATACTTTCTCTTAGCAAACCCATGTTGGGTATTCTTGAACAAGGCCCATGTTTCCAAAGTTTGGTAATTTTATCTTTAATAGCAGTCTCCACTAACTTCCTTAGAACATGTGTTAAGCTGACAGGCTCATAATTTCCTTCATCTCCCTGTGAGGCCTTCTTAAAAATAAAGAGTTACATTAGCTAACCTTCCAGTCCTTCATCTCAGAGCCCAAGTATAAAGACAGGTTGCATATTTTACTTAGGTGGTCTACAATTTCAGCTTTAAACTCCTTAATAATCCTTGGGTGGATGCCATTAAGGCCTGGTCATTTGTCAATAAGGCCAAGCACCACTTCTGTTATCACCACTATGGCTCAATTCATCTGATTCTTTTCTTGAAAACAGAAACTCAGGTTTAGAAAACTGTCCTGATTTTTTCTCTTGTGAAAGCAAAGAATTTGTTCAGTTTCTCTTTCTAAATAAACTGGGTTTGGGCCATATTCCTTTATTTGGCCATGTTGAGTATCACATGTGACTACATTATCCTTTCCTAAGTCCATCACCTCCCCTTTAGAAGAGACATAATTTTCAATTCCTTCCCTAAGTAATTATTGTTTCCAATTCGAATGTTGCTCAACTCCTATCAGGTTTTTCCCTGCTACTCTGCCATCCTTGTAAGTGTCAGTAGTTTGTTTCCATTTTGGTTCAAGTGGAGCCCATCCCTAAAGTATAGGTCCACCTTTTTCCAAAACACCCTCCAATGCCTAATAAATAGAATAAATAGACTGCAAAAAGCACCTTTTCTGAGGCTATCTATAACTTGAATAGTAGTAATTGTTTGTAAGTTGAGGAGTTTCTATGCATGCTGGCTGTCTACCTTCATAACTATTCTAGAAGTTATATATTTTAGAAGTTATCCTAGTGGACAATCA